AGCTGTTAGACCATCGACCACGCGTCCTCGAGAAGACGGAGCATAGGAGAGGTAGGAAGTGAGACAGCGGGATGGAGAAGGAGTGATTTTCCTTTGCCCCGTTTTCGACGAAAACCACAAAAAACAGATACGGTACCGTACAGCCGCCACCACCAGTCCCGTACCAGCAAATCACCCCATCGCTCCACTGCAACCTTCCCCCTGCAAGAACGCAAAAGTCGTCCGCCATGCTTGCAGTCTGTAGTCAACTACCACTCGCCTTGGCATAGGGGTCCGCGTAGCATCTCCCCGTCCTAAGCTCGCCTTCCAAGGTGCGCCTGCTCTCCTTCAACAGCCTCGCCAGGTGCTCGAAGCCTCCCGCCACGAGCCAATCCTGCACAGAGAGGGACAGCCGAGAACAATAAAAAAAATAAAAAAAAAGTTGACGAACCGCAAGGTCAGTCGAAGGTACAGGTACATGGCACTTCTGAGCCGCCATCGCCACTCCAGAGGAACGCTGCGGTGACTTCGGAAGGGGTGGGGGCGGGGTAGATGGTTGTCGGAAGGATCGAGAGAAGGCACATCAATATTTTTTATTTGCAACAGACGGAAAAATACTGCCACACTCGAAAATACAGAAAGGAGGTCATCGACCCTACCGGTACAGGCCGAGACCACCCAGCCTAACATCCCAGCCTATACAACAACAATAGCGGCAATAGCAGCCGCAGCAACAATAACGGCAGCAGCAGCAGCAGCAGCAGCAGCAGCATTAACGACAAACACCCACGCGTACACACCTGCGCCGCGCAGCTCCTCAGCACTGTCTCGGCGCGCAAAGGCCCGCATTCCGAGTGCCTGAAGACGCTGTTCATCAGGCCCACCACAGCTTGCGCGTCCGACAACCGCTCGGCCACAGACACAGCCGACGCATCAGAAAATCGACCTCCCATCCCCTGGTACGGTGGAGAAAGCGGAGGAGGGTTTTCGGGTCCCATGAGAGACGGCATGCTTCATAGTCCAGCAAGACAGCGTAATGATTTAGAAGGCCGGAGGCGAAGCAGGCCCAATAAGGCTAGAAACGCGGAGAATAACGTACGGGCAGATTCCGAAATGAAAAACGTGGGTGCTGTCGAGCGAAGGCTACAGCGATGCAATGTGATGGAGATTACCGCATGATGATCGTGTCAGTTTTCCAGGCGTTGGGTCGGGGAGGGAAACCAACACGAGTGACATCAGTACGCAGGCTCCATTCCCTAACCCTAGACT